ATGTTTTAATATTTGGCAAACGAATTTTAAATTTATCCTGACCTGGTTGCCACACAATACCCAACACTTTTCCATCCTCCGAGTTGAAATGAAATGTAAAAGAAAAATCTTTGCCATCATGGTTACCCTCGCCTGAATCTAAAATAGATAGATCATTTGACAACCACTTATGCAACGAAAATCCTCCTGACCGCAACATTCCAGTCAATTAAGCTTTCAACTCAATAACCATATTCTTTGAATTTGCACCACAGAGTATATCATCGACATAACAATTATTTAAAATAGCATTTGCTGCTAGTGGATAATTTAAACTTTCATCCGTAGCCAATTGATTTAGACATCGAGTTGCCAAAAATGATGCCGCCTTAGTCCCATATGTAATTGTTTGAAGTTTAATCACCTTGATTGGATCATGTGAATTTTCTCTCCATAAAATATTTTGAAGAAATAATTGCTCTGGACTAATTTTAATCATCCTGTACATTTTCGTTATATCGGAAACTAGCACAAATTTGAAAGTGCGGAATCTCAGCAGTATGTCGAACAATTCTGGCTGAACAGTAGAACCTTTTAACATAATGTCGTTTAAAGATAATCCAGTTGAAGTTTTACTTGAAGCGTCAAACACAACGCGCAGTTTTGTAGAAATCGCATCCTTTTTAATTACACAATGATGCGCCAAGAATACCCTTTTTTGAATCTCCTCCGAATTACACTCAACATATTTGCCATGATTAAGCTCAATGTACTCATCAATAAAGCTTTTGCAGTCGCTAAATAATGCAGGATTCCTAATGAATTTATTTTCTAGAAACTGAAACCTTCTATAAGCAGAATGAAAAGAATCGCCCAATTTGCTCAGAGATCTACCTGAAAACCACCATTTTCTAGCCTTGTATATGAGAGCAAAAACAAATCCGCACATAATTTGTCTTCTCTTGAGAAGAAAGTTTTATTATGGTTATGGATCGCTAATTACGTCTGAAACTGAGTAACCTACAAGACATAACTGATCGTTCTCATGGTGTCTAGTTGGACCTGCTCCAAAAATCAACCAACCAAGTTCCGAATTTTGAAGAATTGGAAGTCCTGTACCTAATTTTATAACTTGCGGAAGAATTATTTGCGCATGCAAATCAGCATGTCAATATTCCCCGGCCTATAATAAAGCCGATCTGCTAATTTCATCGCTTTGTCTATTTTTACCTTTCTGAGATCTACCCAGAGATGAGGAAAAGTGGATGTAATTTTGTCCAAAACCGCAAATTGCGTTTTCCATGTATAATTGTTAACATTGGATTTTAAAGTCAAGTTAACAATTGTATCAACCTCAGTTGTTTTATTACCGATGACCCCAATCTTGAGAAACGTTTTTCGAATTTCACACTTGCGCAGTTTGTCAAATAGTTCCTTTGTAATGAAACTTGTTGTGATCCAGAATCTAAAAGCACTCGCATTAATATGCTGACGGTTTTCAAGACAAATTTTAATTATTGCTGTAGCCAAAAGCACCTGCGTATTCGATTGTTCATAACATCCATGCGATTGTAACATACCTGCTTTCCCAGATAGCATTTGATATTCTATGAATATCAAATAACTAAAATCTAAACATTGCGGGAATATCCTGGGAATATACAGAGTTGAACATTCCTAACATGAATGTTCGTGGAATATACATGCATGTATATTCATCAAAGTTCATAAAAAGTATATCCTAGGTATGTACATATTGGG